TATTCCTAACCATAACAGGGATGCTCCAGGTTTTGTTTTGTTTTTTCCAATAAACATGGTGTTGACTATAGGCTTGTCTTACATAGCCTTTATTATGTTGAGACATGCTCCCTTCATCCCTAGCCTCTTTATGAGTTTGATCATCAAGTGATATTAGATTTTTGCCAAAGGTCTAGGTCCTTTTTTTGTAGTTGTTTTGGGAAGCAGTTTTGAATTCCTTAAGAAATGATATAGTAGTTGCTGCAACCTGTGCAGCTGGAGCACGAAATCTGGCGAGGGACGCCAAGGTTAAACAGCGCTCTAGACACCCAGTTTCAGTTTGTCAGGGAAGCAGCTCTCTTTAGTCCTACCAACATGGGCTTATATACCCCTCTAACAGCAGGGGTCAAGGAATGGTTACTCCGTATCCGGAGGCAAGCCGACACTGTTTTTCAAACGGGAAAAACCACAGGGGAACTGATCCCCAGCACCCTCCGGAACCCAACTGCACATTTCTCACACAAACAGCTTAACTGGGACAGGACAAAAAAGGACATTTAAAATTAAGGCAGCAAACACTGCTGCTGACAGTAGTAAGCTGTGACATTTCTGTCCGTCTCTCCCTCCATACCTAGTCCTCTCTCTCCTCTCTCTTCATCCCTCCCCTCTTTCCTTGATCTTTTCTCCTTTTCTTTCAGTTCCTTCCTTCATTTTTACCTTCTTCTTCCAATGCTTAATGGTCCAAAAATCATTAGTAACCCCCTTTCCCCTCCTCTTTCCTCTTTTCTCTTCATTCTCTCACATCTTTCTTTTCTTCTTAAAGGCTAAGAATTAGAGTAATTATATTTGATCTGTGCCCATGAGCAGGTATATGTATAAAGAAGTAAGTGTGTGTGTGTGTGTGTGTGTGTGTGTGTGTGTGTGTGTGTGTGTGTGTGTTGTTTACATGCTAGTCTGCATATCTCAGAACTGAGGATTCAGCTGGGACAGTTAGAAGATTTATTAAATTCAAGAGTATTAATTATGTATTTACATAAATAAATATAAAATTAGTTTGAGCCAGTTTTCTCACTAGGAGTTACATATACGAAAAGTGGGCAGTTTGCATGTGTATGCGTGTGAAAAGATGCTGAAAATACCGTTTAATGTTGGATTGAAATAGATTTTAAATATATACAAATATATATATAAAATGCATATATGTGCACATATCTTTGAAATTTCACACAAAATGCCTACTGTATCTTGTGCTACATTGCTTATTGAAAAAAATTATGACAGCTTTCTTAAACGTATATCAAGCCATAAATATCTAGACCAATTAACATTGATATATTTTATACACAATTGGCCTAGTGTTGTCATTAAAGGTATAATGGACATCATTCTCCATGATGGTCAGATAATAACCCCAAACTTCCAATTAAAAAAATAATAATCCCCAACCTCTTCCATCCAGGACATCACCCAGGAGCAATGGAAAGATGATTTTGTTCTGGAAAGGGCTTCATTAAGGGAACAAACTTCTGTACAGAGAAATGTAGCCTAGGAGGAAGTGAGGGAGAGATTTGGAAACTTTCTTAAAATTAAGCCTTTTGTTTTTGAGGTAGTTGTAGGCGCAGAGGTAGTCAGTAGGAACAAACCAATTTGATTCATGGGTCCATTCACCACTTTCCCTCAGCTATACTATGCCTTACCATGCTGTTTCCTAGCAACATTGAAGCAAGCCAAGTGACAGAATGTTCCCATTACCACAAACATCCATATGACGCCCTGTTATAGCCACACCCACTTGTTTCCCACCCCACACCTTCCTCAAACCCGAACAACCACTTACCTGCTCTCTGTCACAGTTCTGTCACTGAAAAAAAAAAATGTTACTTCAATGTAATCATAAAGCATGTATCAAAACTATCTTGTCTTTCACATTAAACATGAAAAGCTTTTTGGTACCTGCCTCTTATCAAAGTTTAAAAGTCCCTCTTATTCCCATTTCTCTGGCATTTTTATGATGCTCAGTTTTCCTAAGTGCTTGTCTGCACACATGGGTGTTTTATGACTTATAACAGGGTTGTGCTGATTGGCTTCTCAGTACTGAACAGGACTTGCATCACTGGGGAAAACCCTACTTGGTTCTTCTGGGTAATTCTCTTTACCTACTGCTGCATTATATTTGCTATTGTTTTGTTAAGGAGTTTGACATCTTTAACTTGTCATAGATGGTAAGAGCAAGCATCCAGATGCCCACTGGCCTTTGTGAGTGTGATATGAGTGTGAATATCAGTGGGCCACAGTTTTTACTGGTGTTTGGCTGGAACGATGTGGTTATTAGATGAAGTATGAAAGTGGTTTTTTTCTGGACTCCCCCTTCCCTCATCTTCGGCTATGGAAGGAGCAAACAGCAAGTTACTATGACTCCCCTCATATATGTCTATACCTGTTTGAACTTCAGTGACCTACTCTGTCATCAGCTTCCCCCACCATGACAAAATATATGACTTAAAATAGGAAGTTTGTTTGGTTCACGGTTCAGAGATTTCAGCCCATGGTTGCTTGCTTGACTCAGTCACTTTCAGGCCTGTGATGAGGCAGAATATCACGACTGAAACACATGGCAGAGGAAGTCTGTTCGTGCCTAGTGAGGAGAGAGAGAGAGACAGAGAGACTGAGATAATGGATCAATAATAAAACTTACAGCCTCACCATGATGTGGTCTCCAGGATGCTGAGATTTCTAGCGAGTCTACCCTCTTCTGTCAGCCCTTTAGAATCTCCGAACTGGCTCATGGAGAAGTCCAAGAGTGTTGATTAAGCAAAGCTATGGGGAAACAAATCTACATTCCTGCAAACTGTAGTGGGTAGCCATTCCAGCTTTGATCTGGAAGTTCCAACCCCCACTGAGGCTTTGATAACTGTCACATCTACAAGGTGGGGCCAAGAGAGGACCCTGAAGACCTAAGATCCGGATGGGCTTCCTCTCTTGGTTCCTGGACCCTGGATGCTGGAGGTAAACCGAGCAGAGTTCTCCAGAGAACACCGCCAGACTGTGCTACACCTTTCCCAGACTCTGTAAACTATCCATTCACTTCTAAGTTACCCCACAAAATAAACCTCCCTTTTAACTACGTGGAGTGGCCTTAATAATTTCACCAATAGCAAACAGAAGGGATCTTTTTATCTTGAGAACCCTGTCCTAGTAGTCAACAAATCTGATGCCTGTAGATGGCAGTTTATGAAAATCTAATTAATCCTTGATGATCAACCATTGTGAAGCAGCTTTCCACGATAGAAGGAGCACTATTGACTGTTGACAAATGATTCAGAAAGCTGATCATAAGACACAAATGACTTCGTGCAGCCACATTTAAGGGCTGTTCCTTTGCGGGTTTCCTTTGCTGCCACAGGGGTGAAGTGTTGGGAATCTTCTAGACAGTCCCCCTTGGTAAGAAGGCAGGGCAGCGTGTGGCTTTATGGTAACATTGCAGTAGATCCATGGTAATGCAAGTGTGGAATATTTAATCCAAACTCTCGGGAGCTTCCTTTGAATGCCTAGCTTTTAAGGACTGCCTAAGATAAGACCCTGGAAACAAAAAGCACCTTCTTACTGACCTCCTGAAAGAAACCGGGGACTCAGCCCCATTCCTGTAAAGAAGTGAGTTGTGCTAAGAACCTGCTGCAGCCTGAAAACAGATCTGGTCCCCCACCACACCACCCAGAATTTGCAGATGAGAATGAAGCCAGCAGCCGCCTGAATGCAGTCTTGTGAGACCCCGAGCAGATGACCCAGGCAAGCCAGGCCTGGACTTGTGCCTTCCAGAACTGTGCAATAACATGTGTGTGCTGCTACAGCCATCGACTTCATAGTGATCTGTTACATAATAGCAGATAGTGAATACAGGAGCCCACAGAATAGAATCTTTGTCGTAAAAACTTTATAGACATTAAAAGAAAGAGGCATTCACCAGAAATTCTCACCCTCACATTGGTGACAAGTGACACACCAGTTTATGGACTCTTAGTGAAGTAATACAATATACATTGTCTGGAGGCATCTGTGGCATGCTGGGATAGGGTGTGGGTCTTGGTCTTATCTGACAATGGAGATGATATCTATGTCATAATTTGGGTGCAGGAATTCAACATAATGCAGGTAAAAGAGGCCTGCCACAAAGCCTGGTGTTCAGCCCATTGAGTGTAGCTCTTGACTTCTTATTCCAAAGAGATCCAGTTTCTGTCAAAATCCACATTCCAGTGGCTACTGATTGCAGATCTCCTCTGTTCCCCACCACATTTCCGGTGACCCTTCAACCACTTCCACGGAATCAAAACGTACTTGATGCAATTCTGCAGTTCTCACAGGCCTAAACAAGAGTTCTCGCTTTATTCACAAGTACCACCCAACCTCAACAGTTAATGAACCTAAGCATTCCTTCAAGCACCCACCCAGGACTTCTCCACAGGAAGGACCACATTTCCGATGAACTCGGATGTCATTAAAAGGTGCATTATCCCTCCACTAGAATCCTGTCCGCAAATCCTGTACTCTTGGCATCTACTTTTCTCTCCCCTGAAAAAGCGTGGATAGGAAATCCTTGAGGCGGGCCTGGACCGCCCTATTGGAGGCGTGGGCAGCGCGCATCTCCAACCCCTTCTATTTGGAAACTGCCTGTGGCTTGAGCTACTGAAGGTTTTCCTTGTTCGCTGCCCAAAACGACAGCGATCACCCAGTTTAAACGTAACTACTTACAAGGCCTGCTGTCAAAGGGTGAGGGCAGGGGCAAGTTCTGAGTTCTAGCGACCTCTCCTCTGCTCCTCCCCAGACCCCGCTGCCACGCAGTGCCACATCAGCGACTGCACTGCGCGCCCCAGCTAGGTTCCTTGCTAGGATGCGAGTGGCCCAGTGGGCGGAGGCTGACAGAGCCCGCAGGAGTGGCGGGCTGCTCCACCAATCGGCGACCAGGGAGGAGGCTTGGCAGCCAACCGCAGCCCAAGCCAGTGACCCGCCAGGAAAACAGATGAAGCGCATCTGGACAGCTGTGCTGAGAAAGTTTGTGGGCCCCTTCCCGGCCTGCCATCCGCAAGGCACGTCTCCCACGTCGCCTCCTGCTAGCCACTTACTACTTATTTATTTTTCCCCAAGAAGCAATCAGCAATCCAAACTTGAACCCTTTTCTTCCCGCTACCTCCCCCACCCCATGCGAGGCGAGGCCACATCACATTCAACACAGTTTAATTTTCATGAGGCTTTGAGATCAAAAGAGCAGAAACAGCAACAAAAACCCAGCCGCCGTCTGATCCGAACTGGCAAAGTGGGAGAAGTGGGGTGCTGAGTGAACAGACCAAGCTGGGTAAGTTCTGAAGACGCGGGACATCACCTTGCTCCTGCTGAGATCTCTAGCCTGTGCCTTTGCCCTTCTTGCCAGACTTCTTTTGGTAAGGGGAGAAAAAGATCTCATGCTGGGAAAGACTGCAGGAGCATCGGGCTCCTTTCTCTGTTTTGTGGACATCGTTTGCTCTTTAAATTTATGAGGGGTGGTGCTAGTATAAAATTTCTTGGGGACGAAATTTTGGCTGGTGTTTTATGGTAAACCTTTCTTCATCCCAAAGGTAAATTCTCCTCCTCCTTTTTCTCCTCCTCTTCTTGTACAACAATGTGTACATTTTCAAACTATAACTATCCTCCACGCCCTTGATGGAAGACTGAGAAAACTCTGATGTATTCAGAATTAACACAACTTTTGACAAATTACTTAAAACTTGAATCATGTGAAGGACTTACTGAATCTTTCGTTTAAGTTTGAATGTAGTTGAAATTGTGAATATCCCTTTTCAAAGAGGGAGACCTAAATTCCTAGATGGTTAGTAACAAAATAATTAAACATGTGATAGACCACTTTGTGTGCCTGTGATCCTATAATTACATATTTAACCTCTAATTCTATCAAAACAATATCCACAGTGATTGTTATACGTGTGTGTTTACACATAGCTCTAGTTTATGGGTCAGGATTTAGGAATGAGGGGGTGGAAAATGCTGAGCTAAGAGTGACCCAAGGACCTTTCCTTCTGAAACATCTATGATTTCCTCCATCCGAGGAATGTTTTGAAGTTCAAAGTTATGTTGCATGCTGTTCACTCTTGGAAGGAGATCTGACTCAAATCAATCTTTAATTTCTGGCACTTAAAGCAGTGGTGAGAATTTGGTGCAAAAAGTTGTTACTTGTGGAGTATGTTTTGGTCCACAGAGGTAGAAGAATTAAAGTGGATTTAGGGATGCAGGATTAGAAGGACATTATTATAAAGGGGCAATAAGAGTTGGCGAATCAAGATCAGTGCCCAGCTTCACAGTACATTCTTGGGTAAACCACTCAGTCCACCTGTTCCCCAGTTTTCTCCTTTGTAATGTTTTAGTAATAAATAATTGTGCACACTGATAGTGTCTAGAGTATCGAGTTAAAATATGTTAATTGTTAGGCCAGCCCGGCATAAAACACGTCTTTGCTGTGTTTTCATTTTTTTATCGCCTTCCTTCCTAGCTTCTGTACACGGATTTCTTCTGTGGCACTCTGACTTCTTGAGAAACTTTTTTTTTTTATCCAGGCACAATGTAGGGTTGTAAAACAGAAAGCATCATGAATGGATGTCAAAGAAGAATTGATTGAGGCCTTAGATGTAGAAGGTTCTGGAGTGCAGAATGCAGAGATCTATATCTGAATGTAGGTTGGTTTCACGGGAAGGCCGCCATTACCGGGAAGTGGTTTTGACAGTTCGCTTTAGGGGTGATGGTGGTCAGAGTCAGAGCTGAGACAGATTCAATCTAGGAGCAAGGGGGAGTATGGCAGAAGCCTGAGTGCTTTGAGCATTGAGAAAAATGCTCAGTGCTCAATGCTGGGAGCATTGAGAAAAAGCTACAAGAAATTAGTGTGGGCGGGTGTGGGGTGGTGCTGGCCGTAAGCTTTCTGCTGACAGGGCAAGCGCCATGAGAGGGGATGGATTGTCAGGCGGTGAAGGAGAGTTTGTCAAGTATATGGGCATGGGCGTGATGAGCAGAACTGACACCAGTTGCCAAGTGGAGGCTTTGTGACAGGGTTCGTTTCTGGGGTCCCCACTGCTTGTCAACGTGCTCTCCTGCAGCTGGGGGGTGGGCAGGACTGGATGGCTCACCAGGGCCTGGCAGTCTGAACATTTGCAGTGACCTCTTCCAGCTCTGTGCTAGCAGTCTGGTACCCTGGGGCATTACCCAGGCAATTTTTCATTAACAAGGGCCACTTGGAAGTCTTTGGCAGGAATGGGGTTGTTAAACCCCTGCCCTGTTCTCATATAGACCCAATGTGTGCAAAATAGATCTTTAACGTCTTGCTAATAAAGTCGGTCTGTTCCTGTGTTAATATTTAGAGATTTAAAATTGCAATGACTGAGGTAGATATTACCTATCGTATGCATTTGAGTGACGGGTGAAGCTTGAGTTCTTGTGCCTTGTCCCAATGACACTGTGGCAGAGAGCTGGATTCTGGTGTGGCTGCTGGCCACCTGCCTGATCTTGGGCAAGACCCTGAGCCATTATGACTCTGTGATATCATCTGTGAAGTGATCTTCCTGGTCCTTTTCCCTTAGGTGGTCATATATTCATCCCCTACCAAATTTGGAGCAGTCTGTTGTCCGAGGGTGCCTACCTGACACATCCAGCTATTATTTTTGTCGACTTTTGTCAAGTGCTCCAGTATTCAGCTCATGGCATGTTCACAGAAACTTTATGATTGTTGCTATCCCACAGAGCCTTGCTTTTATCATTGAGGAGACAGAGGCATAGATGGATTAAAATACTTGCCCACAATCCATAGTGAACAACTGGCAGACATAGACCCAGCCTAACACAAAACCTGCAAGCTTTGACCATTAGGCTACACAGTCTTGGGTATATGAGAAACTGGCTCTTCTTCCTGCTCCCCCTTTTTCTCTCCTCCCTTCTCCCCACTTTGTTCTCTTTCTTGTTCCCCACTTCCTCTTCCTTTCTTAGCTGCAGGGTTTTGCTACGTAGCTTAAGCTAGATTCAAATGTGTGATCCTCCTGCCTTACCTTCCTGAGTTCTGGCATCCCAGGTGGCCATCACGCCAGGTTTCATTGTTCTAGTATGTGGTTGTCAGTCAACTAGACAATGGGAAGAGGATCCCTGGAGCCAGCGACATACTGATAAAATTTTCCTAGAGAGGCCAGAATAGCAACAAGATTCTGTCTAGGAGGTGATGGGAGACATTGCATTGCATATTAAGTGGATTTCATTGCCGGAAAACATCTGTCTTCTTATCTTGTTTGAACAGAACTCACTGTAGTATCTGGTTTTAAAGTGGACAATAAATGTCAGCCGGTGTTAATCGGATGATTATCTGCATTGAAAAAGGACCTAGGAGACCACTGATGTGTTTTTAAATCTTTGGGTGCCAAAGCACAAACCTATTTTTCATCTTTTAAAGTACCTGGCTCTAGATCATCCCCAAAAGCTTTACAAGAGAGATTTGCAAGTAGTACACTTCAACTGGGGAACAGTATACACTATTCTCATGCAGCATCTCCCTGCCACGACGATTGGTCAGTTAGTGAGTTAGTAAATGAAATAAATACCGAAATCGAATACATATTAACGCGCATTTGAAGTAGGTTCCTGGAGTCCTGGCCTCTCTTCTCCCTCTCTTCTGCACCCAGACTCGAGATGAATAGGTGCTTTCCTCTAAATGACATTGCCACATGTACTGCATCATCAAAGGCCCAAATCATCAGAACTAATCATTCACGGATGGAAGCCCACTGCCTCAGCTTCCTGCTCTTACAGGTGTGTTTACAAGTGTGCACTCTGTGTGTTCAGGTGTGCACCACCACACCCAGCAAGCAGGGCAGTAGCAGGAAGCTGAGTAGGCAACACAGCATCTTTTTCAGAGTTGGGTCTTCTCCTTGCAGACTTTCTCTGAGTGTCTCTTCTCAGCTTAAAGGATACAAATGGGACTTCATTCCACTCTTGTGACCTAGCTTCAGTGACCATCTCAACCTGACAGTTGAGGCACACAGATCTTCATGAGTGTTATCTTGTCGCAGAGAAGAGATGATCATGCTCAATGGAAGAACGTTCCTTTTCTAAGGCCACACTGGCACCAGGAGAAGCTTGTCCACTGAGGTTAGTTTGCATGGCTTCCTCTCTCAGGCTGTTGGCGTGCCGACCTCCTGTGTGAAGTTGCCCTTGGCTTTAGAGAGCCTGCTGTGGACTTTGACGCTCAGCTCTCTCAGGAAAACCTTGGAAGACAATGAGTCCTTTCTCCCGAACCAGCCGTCACCACTTTGGACTAGTCCATTTCCCTAAGGTGCCTTAGACCATCCTAATATGGAAAAGGGGCAAAGGCAAATGTTCTCACTGTCCTGAGCAGAGGTGACTGTCCTCTGTGGTGATGAGTTAAAATAAGGTGGCACTCTCCATGGCAAGGAACGAGGTGACTTTACCTGAACCTTTCCCCATTGTACCTGAAACTCCACAGGTTCTAGAAAAATATTTGTAATATTTTATATAATTCTCTTTAATAGGGAGAAAATAGAAAATGAGCTTTTAGAGAAATAAGATGTCTGTGAAAATTGATCTCCAGAAAGGAAAGTGTGCTAATTGATTAGTAAGAAATGTAAAGGTCTCTGGTTTAAGTCTCTTTTTATTGATTATTCTTGTTACCTCCAAAAGATCACACCATTCTTTGGACTATTCTATAGCCTAGCTCTGTGATATTAACACAGCTTTCCTGTTGAGCTTCCAACTGGGGCTCATAACCCTTTTCAGTGGGCTGGTACCTTTTATTCTCAGCACTTAGAATCAAGCCAATAAGCACTGTGGGAGGAAAGTTCCACCCAAGGGCCTAGCTAAATAAATAAGTGGACAAAATTAAATCGGACCTCTTCTAGGATGTTTACAGAGGGCGCTTTTCATCGGTCAGCTTCCTTCCCATGAACACTCACTTGTTCAAGCCCTGATTTATGCTCTGTTCCTGTTAACTCTATGTGCAGAGCCAAGGCTTCCCGAGTGCTGAACTTACTTTTTGGTAGTAGTAACCCATGTAAGAAGTTTCCCTATTTGTTCTTGATTACTTGAAAATATCATCGGTCCATTTCTGATTTGAATCAACAATGAGTTGCCAAATTGACACTGTTCTTTTTGTGTAAAGGCTGTCTATTTCTGACCTATTCCATCACAAAATATATTTTCACAAATGAGTATAACATTTAATTTGATTTAAGTTCAGTAGGAGAAACAAAATCCAAAGTTTATGATATGTAATATTTCATAAATTCAGATAAATATTTCTTTTAAAAAACATAT